TGCCCCTAGCTCTCCAAATAAGGGCAGTCACTGGACAATGTCTGGATGGATTGGGGAGTTGACCGGTCAACCTTTTGTCTTGCCGGTCGTTTCTTGTCATGTTGACCATGCAGTCACATTTGATCGTATTAAAAATGAAATACATTAAAATTTACATACTATTCAGTTGTTTCAGTTGTTATCAGTATGTAGCGAGTCACTGTGTATTTTGGAACTTTGATCTGAAATCCTGGGTGAAATGCAACTATTGTTTACAATTTATGCATTGAAACAGGCATCGAAGTTCACGCACTTCTAGTCCAGTCACAAAATTAAAAATGTTGTCACTGTTATATGCTAATTTTCAAGTTTTGCATTTCTCCGTGCATTTGAATGAAAGTATAATGCAAAGGAACTATACTTTATAAAACCAATAATATTATTCTACTCTTTGCAAGCTTTTCTATGTGTTTATCTTTTGCGTGCATAAACTAAAACATAAAAGGTTATACAATGAAAGACAGTGTACCTATCAAAACACATAAGCTTATTATCATTAGTTCGACTTCTGGTCGAGGGATAGAAGGTACTATGTCAAGGGTCGACTTTTTCTGTTTTCTATTTTTTTTTTTCGCTCTTTTTATAATAATAAATATTCTTATGTCCCATGCTATCCAGTTGCTGCGGCCACTAAAATAAATTGTATTTGCATGGCTAATTTGTATTGTTACATTTTTTTGTAAAGACCTCTATTAACTGGACACCGGACTGAATTGATAATAGTAGTATTGGATTACATCCTTGGAATGCATACTGTAGTTGATTGATAAAGATAAATCAGTACATTTGGCTGTCAATAAACTGTAGATTAGACTGACATCTGGTTGGTAATGAAAGGTAATGAACTTGAACTCTGAATAGCTTCCTTAACAACATGGAGCTTTATCACAGTACAGAGTACCCTCTGATTGTTAATAGTTGTAAACAAACATTGTGCAATTTTTACAAACCTCTATTCAGCGGACACTTGGGAAGGTCCCGAAGGTGTTTGCTTAATAGAGGTATCACTTTAGTTGTTATTTATTTCCATTATTTCAAAAATTGAGGTTCCTTCAATAATTCTTGCTATCATTTTTTTTTATTTCAGAGCTTTCATAACTGCTTTAGCAAATGGAAACACAATTCGAGTTTTTAAAGTGAACAAGAAGAAAGATGGGTCTGGAGCTTCGGTTACTGGGGAATTTGACTTTCCAGTCAAGCATTCAGCAGAGATAATAAATATTGCTGTGGCCTCCAGTGGAAAGTTTATCATGTCTTGCTCTAGTGATACAACTATAATCCTATGGAATCTGAAGGGTATGTCTTTTCATTAAAACACATCATCTTTAGGTCTATATGGCCAGCATTAGCATCAAATTTCTGATGAGGTAACATGAAGGTGGATTTCCAACACGTTTCATAGTGAGAGCTTTTTAGTTGAACATTACAGAGATCACACCTTTCTTAAAGTCTAGTCACGTTATAACAAGTTACACATATTTTTGTTCATTTGTTCTTTTAATAAATGGTTGACCCAGCAGATGAGAATGTTAGTCATTTTGGTTACTTCAATTTTTATTAAAACTCCTGGGTGTGAGCTAAAACTACTCACGCATTCAAGTTTTGTCTTGTTAAGGACAAGTTGTTACTTTCCAAGTGATAAAATGCCACTTTATGAGTGATAAAATGCCTTATGTTTATCTGAAGTACTGGAAATTCTAAAATTACAGTGTGATCACAATCTTATTGTTTGCTAATATTACTGGTTAGTGCTGAACAGCAGCCAATATACACTTAGTTTTATTTATATGTAACAGGTGAGGTGCTCTCCATTATTGACACTCATCAGATGAATAACAGCTTTGCAAGTATATCTCCTTGCGGCCAATTTGTCGCATCTGCGGGTTTGTTCAATATTCTTTGTATTGCATTCTTTGTATTGCATTCTGTCTGATCTACTGTATCTATTCTAGGATTTCTCCATTTTATTTTATTTTTCTTCATGTACTGAAAGCTTCCTCCCTGATTTTACAGTAATCTGTAATTTTTTTTTCTTTCCTTATGTCAGGTTTTACCCCTGATGTGAAACTTTGGGTAGTGGAGTTTACAAAGTCTGATGAATTCAAGCAGGTCAATCTTTTTTTTTTTCACAAAATAAGTTTAAATTATGTACCTGATCCAAACTCTTTGTATGGACCTAGCTACAGTTAATTAAGTATAGAAAAGGACAGTGCTTTGGATTGTTTGATGACCTGAATTAAGAACATAGTGATGGGTAATTGTATCTGATCATAAGCAAATTTTAATATTCAGCTTTGCCACCCTTAAGATAGACTTGTTGAGTGCCCAGAGTTTTTTTTTCTGTATGATTTATATTTAAAGAGAAAGAACAGTGATTGCATTTCAACAGTTGATCGATATGTCACATGTATAGGATGTAACACAAGTGTTTTCTTTGCCTCTCTTGATCAACAGCTTACTGTGCTACACCTTACTACTTTTCATTAGTCAAGTTGATCTCTAATTATGCTGTATCCTTGGAAATACTCTTACTACCTGTATTTTTGTCTTTGGTATCTCTTGTAGGAGAATTTACTTGCAGATTGAAGTTTATTATGTCTATGACATTTTTAAATCTCATCATGTTGGACCGATGGTGTGTCTAGAACACCGTACAATCTATATCTTTTCATTTCTTTCATTGTTTAAACTAACAGGTCGACAAGAGCAAACTCGTTTTCAAAACAATGGAACTGATATGAAATTAAGTACATATCTTGCCTGTAAGTTTAAACTTTTATAATATTTATTTTGTGGCAGGTTTCAAGAGCAATGGAGTTAAAAGGACATACTGCAGGTGTTTATCACTTTAGTTTTTCATCAGATTCAACAAGGTACGTGAACAGTTCTAAGAATTATACCATGTTAAATTAAAGGAGTAGGATGCAAATGTTTCAACTGGTTTTTGTGAAATGAAACAGTTGAAATTGGTATTAAAATTAAATAACCCGAGTTAGTTTTTGTATAGGTAATTTTAGTGCTTATTTTGTGGTCACCCTATGTGAGTTGCCTGCCACAACAACTGTGGAGCAGATATTAAGTACAACTAAGAAATGTTGGGAAAAATATCCAGGCCCCCAGCATTTCCTAGCATTTCTTAGTGTTCAATATCTTTTTCTTATTTCATCACACTTGGTATAATTTTGTTGTTTATTACACCTGTAACCTAAGGCGTTGACAAAGGAACTGCAAAATTAAGAAACATGACCACATTTTTATACAGTAGAACCTCCCATAAGCGACCACCCAAAATGCAAAACCTTGGTGGTCACTTATAAGTTGTGGTTGTCAGACCGCAAGGGCAAAATGTTTAAGTCAACCTATAATGGAGGGTTCTACTTATTCAAAAAAATACTGGAAGTTGACTTTTCCATGAAGAAATCATTAGCTATCAGAGCTATTCTATTTCACAGTTCATTTGCAGAAAATTGAAATTGGAGGTTGAAAACAGTCGAAAATTCTAAAACCTATCAGCTGATAAGGTAAGGTGGTTGCGGTTACAAGAGGTGGTCATTTATGAGAGGTTCCAGTATAAGGCTTTGACTGAGAACATTTTTGGTGTTTTGGGAAGGTGGTCGCTTATAGGAGGTGGTCGCACGTGGAAGTTTGATTGTATTAAAAGACATGTTTTGACAGCTCGACCATCATGAAATGTAGAGTTTGAGTATGGGTTCACTGTTTATGAGCCCAGAAGTCAAATCATAAGTTAAGATTGACTATGATTGTGCAGCTAAATAAAGTCCTGACTAGGACGGATTGTTCATGATGTTTTGTCATAATTAGAGTCAAGGTGAGTTGTGTATCAGCATTGAATCTTCATCATACACGGGTAAGTACGTGGTGTAAGCATCATATAGTGGTTGACGTTAGTTAATATAAAGCCTAGCCTTCCACGCAGGCGTTTTTAGGGGAGCTCTTTTTCCATCCCTCCCCACAAACGCCTGCTCAATCAAAGACAACATTCCTTTCCCAAGCTTAGCCAATCACATGGTACTTTCCAAATTCTGGAAAGTTGACCTTGACTGCAAGGTAATCTGATAATTACTCGATCTGCATGAAACACTGGAAAAACTTTCTAACCTCCAATAAATGCTAGATTCAGAGCGGCAAAAATAAGATTTAATCAAATTTTAGAATACTCCATGCACTTCATAACCTTAACGAAGGAAAGAAAAGAAGGAAAACAGTAACTGTAGGGTCACGTTTTAGTCGCGTTTAGCCTGTCAACACTTTATTGCCTAACTGTTTATTGGTCACTTACCACGCAAATAAAACAATGGGAAAGGAATGTTGTTTCCGGTTGAGCAGGCGTTTGTGGGGAGGGATGAAAAACAAGCTCCCCTAAAAATGCCCGCATGGGAGGCTATATAAAGCCCTACATAACCACATATAGCCTACAGAGTCCTACATAGCCCTACATAGCCATACAAAGCCATACATAGCCCTACATAACCCTACACAGCCATACACAGCCCTTCATAGCCATACACAGCCATGCACAGCCCTACATAGCCATACATAGCCCTACATAACCCTACACAGCCATACACAGCCCTTCATAGCCATACACAGCCATACACAGCCATACATAGCCATACATAGCTATACACAGCCATATATAGCCCTACTTAACCCTACTTAACCCTACATAGTCATACATAGCCCTACATAGCCATACATCGATTGCCCTACATAGCCATACATAACCATACATTGCCATACATAGCCATACATAAGCCTACATAGCCATACATAGCCAACTTAACCATACAAAGCCATACGTAGCCCTTCATAGCCATACATAACCCTACATAGCCATACATAGCAATACATAACCCTACATAGACCTACATAGTCATACATAGCCGTACATAACCCTACATAGCCATACATAGCCATACACAGCCATATATAGCCCTACTTAACCCTACTTAACCCTACATAGTCATACATAGCCCTACATAGCCATACATCGATTGCCCTACATAGCCATACATAACCATACATTGCCATATTACTAGTCATACATAGCCGTACATAACCCTACATAGCCATACATAGCAATACATAACCCTACATAGACCTGCATAGTCATACATAGCCGTGCATAACCCTACATAGCCATACATAGCCCTACATAGCAATACATAACCCTACATAGACCTACATAGTCATACATAGCCGTGCATAACTCTACATAGCCATACATAGCCCTACATAGCCATACATAACCCTACATAGCCCTACATAGCCATACATCAATCGCCCTACATAGCCATACATAACCATACATTGCCATACATAGCCCTACATAGCCATACATAAGCCTTCAAAGCCATACATAGCCCAACATAGCCATACATAGCCCTACATAGCCATACATAACCCTACATAGCCATACATAGCCATTTATAACCCTACATAGCCGTACATAGCCATACATAGCCATTTATAACCCTACATAGCCGTACATAGCCATACATAGTCCTGCATAGCCATACACAGCCCTACATAGCCATACATAGCGCTACATAGCCCTACAAGCCCTACATAGCGATACACAGCCCTACATAGCGATACCTAACCCTTCATAGCCTTTATACATAGCTCTATATAGCCATACATAGACTCATGACTCATTGACTCATTTGACTCCTCTTTACCATCAACAAAGAGAATTTCATTGCTGAAGTGACCAGTGATACAAGTTAGTTAGGAAATCTAGGCGAAGCAAAGCTGCACATTAATTCAAATGTTACACCAAGAGCATTACCCTGCGGAAACTTTCCATTTGCATTGCAAGAGGATGTCAAAAATGAACTGGACTGACTAGTGGAAATTGGAGTTTTGGCACCTGTAGAGGAACCAACAGAATGGGTAAGCCAGATGGCTGTTATCAAGAAACCAGATGGATCGCTAAGGATCTGTATTGACCCTCAAACACTGAATGAAGCTCTCCAACGGGAGCATTACAAGCTCCCAACTTTTAATGATGTGTTGCCCACTCTGAACAATGCCAAGATATTTAGTTAACTTGATGTAAAGCACGCCTTTTGGCATGTGCAGCTGGACAGTCAATCTAGTCTTTTAACGACCATGATCACCCCTTTTGGCCGGTACCGCTGGACCCGACTCCCTTTCGGATTAAAGGTTAGCAGTAAGATTTTTCAAAGAAAGCTGAACGAGGCGCTCAGTGGCCTCAGCAGTGCTATCTGTATTGCAGACAACCTGCTAGTGATGGGGTGTGGCAACACAAAAGATGAAGCAGCTGCTGACCATGAATGAAACCTCTGAGAGTAACAGAAATGGTGTTCACAGAGAAACATCATACTTAAGTCTGTCCTACGACAAACACAGGTTAAATTCATGGGTCACGTGATAACCACTGAAGAAGGACAGGCAGACCAGTCAAAAGTAGAGGCAATCCTCAATATGCCAGCTCCCCCTGACGTACAATTCCTCCCAAATCTTGCCAGTGATTTACAGCCAATACAAGAGCTAACCAGATAAAATGTGGACTGGAACTGGTCCGCCGAATGTGAGGAAGCATTCATTAAAGTGAAGACGATTACAGAGGGCCCTTTGCTCATTTATTTTAACCCAGATAAGGAACTCGTCCTGCAAGTAGATAGTAGTAAAGATGGATTGGTTGCTGCCCTACTACGGGATGGGAAGCCTATTGAATATGCATCGTGAGCTCTGACAAGTCCAGAACAAAACTGGGCTCAAATTGAGAAAGAGACATTAGCGGTAGTATTTGGTCAGAACACTTTGATCAGTACAAGTATGGTAGAAAGGTTGTTATTGAGAATGATCACAAGCCACTTGCCGCCATCCTCAATAAGCCCCTCAGCCCAGCTCCTAAAAGCCTGCAAACACTAATACTGCGGCTCCATAGATACGATGTCGATTTCCACGACATGGAGGGAAGCAAGCTTTTCATCACGGATACCCTGAGCAGAGCCTATCTTGATGTCCTCGATACCCATGTGAGAGTGATGAAAGTCAATGCCTTAAAAGGAGAGTCAGATGAGAGAATTAATGAAGTAAGGGAGGCAACTGCAGAGGATGAAAGTATGCAGAAGCTCCTTAGTATCATCAGGGATGGCTGGCCTGACAATAAGAATGAAGTACCCAGTGAACTGAAACCATGTTTTGACATGAGAGACACTCTAAGCCATCAAGACGGTGTTATTTTGAAGGGAGAAAGAATTGTGATCCCAAAATCGATAAGAGACATTACAAAGAAGGGGCTACACTCAGCACATCTGGGTTACAACAGCATGATGAGATGCACTCGCGATACTGTATTTTGGCCCGCAATGTCACATGAGATACGCCAAGTGGTCGAAAACTGTGAAACCTGCCAGCTACACAAACCACGGAATCAGAAAGAGACACTGAGACAACATAAAGAGGAGGAAACCCAGTGGAGCAAAATTGGCGTCGATCTGTTTGAAATAAATGACAGAAATTATCTAGTCACTGTTGACTACTACTCAAAATTTTTAGAAGTTGATTACCTTTCCACCACAACCAAAACGACTAGGCAAGTCATTACCAAACTCAAAGGACACTATGCGAGATATGGGATACCCCTACAGATGGTAACTGACTCTGGCCCCCGGTTTCTCTCACGAGATTTCAGGAATTTCACGACGGAGTGGGCAATACAACATGCAACGTCATCACTCGAACATCACTAGTCAAATGGAAAGGCGAGGGCCACAGTGGAGATTACCAAAACGATGATGTCTAAAGCACTACGGGATGGCACTGATCAATATGAAGCCCTACGGGAATTGAGAAACATGCCTCGCCAGGATACAGGCATAAGCCCTGCTGAAATGATGTTTGGCAAAAATACTCGATCACTGCTACCGTCTACAGGAACCAAGAGCATCCCAAGTGAAAAACAAGTTATGATGAAAAGAGCCAAGCGCCGCCTTCCCATTAAGAGTAACAACAAAAAAGGTACCTGAGACCTGAAGCGACTCACCCCTAGTCAATCAGTTTACTACCAATACAAGGAAAGAAGGAGACCTGAACGGAGAAGAGGCATTTTGTGGACTGAGCCACAGCGAGTGATCCTACATGATAGACGGGAGAGATGGTTTATATAGGAGAAACAGAGTGCACCTACACCCTACAACACCTGAAACGTCACCAGACAAATCCTCCTCACCTGCTTCTCTTGCTTCTGCGTTGAATTCACACAAACTGCTTGAGCACGTGATCACTGAGAGGTTGCAGGATGCCAACAGACTGAACAAGTCTCAAGCAGACAGTCCAACAAGGCACCAGCGAATAAGGAAGGAACCTGACTGGTTCAAAGATTACGAGTTCAAGTTTTAGTTTCTTGAACATTTGCGCATGTTGCAAAGAACTTATATTTAATTATCAAAGAGACACTTAGACAAACAACTGAACTTGTCTGTGTTATTCGTTTTTGCTTTATTTTATTTATTTTATTTTATTTGAGAAAGAAACATGTTGATACTATGTTGCTGTGAGCCCGCAAGTTGGTTTTAACCATAAGGGCCTGGAAACTATATATGACATGTGTGTAGGACCCACCATGTTTTTTAGATCTAATTCTGTCTTTACATACTTGTGAGACCTAGCTGCGTTGTGTTTTACTGCCTGAAGCAGCACTTGTCAACACACGAGTCACTTGGGATCTGATGCAGACTTTTCCACAGCCTATCAGGGCTACATCCACCCCCCAAAAAAACCTTTTTTGCTGCAAGATATGTTTTATTACTGTCAATGTTTTCACTGAGCAGTTATTCAGTCAATCCAATAATAGTTTCGTGGTTGTCAGGCCTCATTTGAAGAACCATAGGGGTTATTGTTTCATAATTGTTTTTACTAGAAGTTCTCCTCAAAGTTGTCCACTACATGTGGGAAGTTGATGATAGTACTATTAAAGTGTTTTTATTATTATGACTTATTATGACTGCAGTCAGTAGTAATTACCAGCTGCTTCATTGTTTCTACAGTAATATTTTTTATGCTGATTTCTTGTTTTCTTTGCTTGTAGCCAGTAGTAAAGCCCCTGAGTACTAAGTGTTTTTTTTTTCAGGATGGCAACTGTATCCAAGGATGGAACTTGGAAAATTTGGGACATTGATGGTGAGTCGGTATGACTGGTTTGTGGTTGTGTGTGATTACCTGTAATAACTTTTTCAATAACGTGACTCCAAAAGGGTACTCTTACTTCTCACTCAGCTCCTCTCACTGTGGACTGAAGCCTGTTTGAATGGCTAAGTAAACACGGTAATGAAGGGAGGAGAAAGAAAACATGGACTTTGTTGCACAAAACACAATACATAGGAAGGTCAACAATCGATTTACTATCATTTCCCCTGGAACTGTAGTGATAGTGAATATTCCTTGCATCAGATCTACAAGTACTTGTGCAGTCTACTAAGAGCAGTTGCCATTTGAAAAAGCGTCTCTAGCGCCGATTACTATCGGTTATATTTATATTTATCTGAGATACACTATATATTAATTTATGAAAGTCAAAGTTTTGTAAAAAAAATGCACCTATCAGTCTACCAACATATTTTCAAAAGAAACCTGCACCGCGTATGAGATGACCTTGACACAGCAGCCTTTTTTCTACCCTGCGCATGTTAAGTGTATATCACCATCATTAAAACCTATGAGATTCCCTGATTAGGAGCCCCCATAATAACCTGACAGCTGCTTATAAATTCTGGGGTATGTTCCTCTTTGCCCAGACTCAATTCAGCACTTGCTGTGTACCAACATATCGACCTATTTTGCTACTCTCAGAGGACACATTGTGGTCAAAACCACCTAAGTATACCTGTGTCAACGAAATGCTTTTAACTGTCACCAAATGCCATACTTTAACAATATACAAGAAACTGGGAGATGCCTAGGTGACAAATTTAAAGACCATTTATGCGCCAGATGTCTACCTAACACTGATCTCCCAATTAACTGACTATTTTTATCCCCTGATTACAACGTTGGGAACATGCTGGTCACTGTGATCCATTCTGGCTTCAGCAGTGCAATTTTTAGGCGCAGTGTTGAAAGTAGGATGATATTTAAGCTCTGGACACTAGACCCAGTTGGTCGAAAGATTGATCTCAATTGTATTTGAGTAGTATTGTAGGTACCGAATTACCCCTTTATGCGCAGGAATTTCATTAACTTGGGCAGGAATTTATTAACGCCAGTGACGTCATAACCTTTTGTCAGAGGGCCAAAAAGGCAGAACAAAGTCAAAAAGGCCAACGTCAGGACAAAAGTGACGAAAATAACTTGCGGGCCATGTAAATTAAAAACCTGTCTGGTAGAAAAACAACAAAAGGAGTGAAAACAATTAAAATGAGGAGGTGGATGGAAAACAATGGAAATGATGAGGAGGATGTGGTGGTGGTGGTGTAAAGTTTTCACTCTTCACGATTGATATCATTACAAATAAACTGTGTCAAAATAAAAAGTCAATGCAGAGTCGATGCGGTGGAGGGAAAACAAAACTAAAAAATGAAATTAGAAAAAGAAAGTAAATAAAAAGTGGAGGAGTAGGAGAGGTATGGAGTAAGTAAGACATTGTCTTACGTGCTGAAAGAACTACTTTGCCTTTGCCTTCATTAATATGCACAAGAATTAGTGAACCGGAACTAGGACAATGACAGTGGCAGAAAATAGAACGTGAATAATTACGTTACCGCTCAGCATGTTTGACTTTATTCCCCAGACACCATGAATTAACCAATGAAAACGTTTCATATATATTCTCTAATCAATCAATCGAAAACCAAGACATTTACCGACCTAAAAGTAACTAGAAAACCTGTCAGACAGGTAAAACTAATTGAAAATAGCACATGATCTTATCTTAATGAGATTCCACGGCATTTTATTTATGAGGTAAAGACAAAAGGTTATAACATCATCGGCGTTAATGTATTCCTACGCAAGGTAATAAGATTTCTGCCCAAAAAAGCATAATTATGTGCCTACTATACTACTTATTTGAACCTCCAAAAGTCAGTGCAAGCAAGTAATGTACGACACATCTTTGTTTTGTATTTATAAGATCAGTTGCACATCCATTTTTCAGTTGCTTATTAACCACTCCATGGTATGACCACTGTAGCCTGCCACGAGTATACAGCTATATCGAAAAAGGTTCCTTTGGTAATTGGTCATAAGTAATTGGACATTGGGCATTTGGGCATATGGAACAATGCAATGATTTACTTGGGTGACCACCAAACAATAGCTTTCCAATGCTCAATTCCCAAAGGAACCTTTATTGAATCAGCTATATGTTATGTTGTTGTTGTTTTTCATTTAGTGGAGTTTAGTAAGAAACAGGACCCACACCTGCTCGTCACTGGAATTTATGATGCCTCCTTTGGAGTTTATAACAACATGCTTATTCATATGTCTCCGGATGCGTATGTGACAGCTATTGCAATGGGAAGGTCTGTAGGGATTTTCAATACAGAAAATGGAAACTTGGAAGAACTTCTTGAAGGCGTACATGGAGGTAAGAGAAATAGTGACAAATAAGAGTCACTTAACACACGAATGGCAGTGAATCAACCTATCAACATACTTTGTAAAACTGAATGGAAAACAGTTTAAAGTCGCTAGTTAGGGCTTACGAGAAGATGTCAGTAAGAATGAAAGATCGGGCGGACAGAGCTCAAAATTTGATTTCGCTTATACTTTGTACATAAGTAGGCCCAGGTACTATACAGTCATATGAAATCAAGGTTTATTTCACTGAATAAGGTTTCGTTTGAAAGAAATCTAATTTTAACTGTTTACGGTTTTTTTCGTCGTAATTATCACAAAGTTATTAAGTCATTTAGTCGATCGTTCTAAAGTATCTTTGCGGATATCCAGTTAAACTAAAGTTACTTTAGTCCATTTATTCCAAAAACAGCTCGCCAACGCTGCTCGCAAAAAATGTATGAGTTTTTGAGGAAGTACGCCAACATCCTTTCTGAATTTGGTTGAATGGCTGGTCCAAACAACAAGTCAGAACGTGTCGCGGTACGCGACGAATCTCACCAGGAAACCTTTTGGTCATCTTTAAAGTATAGTTTTAACTTTCTACAACTTTATTTGTTTGGGATCTTTTGTACTTTTTGGGCCAATACTTCTTAAAGTGAGCACAATTTCACCTTCCGCCATGTTTGAATGTCTTACATCACGGAGACAGGCAAAACGGAAGTCACCGGTACGGAATCAAACAGCACAAAGTTTCACCACTTATCACTATTATTATACATTCAACTCACTATCTCTTTTCTGATTGGCCGAAAGCGTACAGTGAATTTTCGAAATCTGCACCTGGGACGTCATCTAGCGGTAGATTATACAATAATCATGTCAAGAAAATTCAAGGTCACGGGTAATCATGTCATTTATGACCGCAGTGCATGATTTCTAAGGATAATCATGTCAAGTTCACGCTTTGTGTTCCTTGCCGTCAGTGAAGAAGCAAAAACATAACTTCCGGTCAAAATAAAGATTTCGTGAATTCTTTTCCTCCACATTGTTAAACCCAAAGGAAACGGAATATAAAGCTGAAGATATCAATGCGGAATTCGCTCACCCGTTTATTCGACGTCTAATGACGGTGTCAGAGGTCGGTGCATGACGTGTAGGAAATCAATGTCACTATATCATGCATGGAATCACAGTCCTGAATAAAACCATTGCCAAATTGCCGTTAACTTTAAAAATCAAAGGCTCCTAGGAGCGAGCTCATGGATGAATTGAATCGTAAACGTGCATGGGTGCAAAGTGCCACTGCTCTTGAATTTCGTGATTAGATTTCGTTATTGTTGACAACCGAATGTTGAAGATTATCACCTCTTTACTTATAGTAACTCAGGAAGGCTTGAGAAACATTCCGTTTTGAAATTCATTTGTTTTAAACTGCTTGGGCACTGTAACATATTCACTTTCCGGAAAGGATCCTTCTTAGTTTTTTTTTATATTTCATGACTTTCTCTGTGTGTTGGTTAAATGATAGATCATGTTTACATTCTTTAGCATTTGGTTTTTGGCATCTGCTTTTTGGCATACACTGTCGGTTTTGAAAAGCATTTCGTATTTCGTCAGCATTTCTTCGCTAACTTTTTGGCACCTCTATGGCACTCACGCTTATCCTTGCCCAAAGCTGTACGTGTTCTGACCTTAGGAATCCAAACCCGACACAGTCGAATGTCCGATTGCATGTGCACTTGAATATTCTAGAAACTTATCGGCGCAGCATTTTATTTAACGCTTTTTACTTGTAAAATAATACGATAGTTCTTTCAAACTCCTGTCGATAGCATCTCCTCCGGGCATCTTCTCCATATCAAGTAATATCGGGAGCAAATGTGCACAATTCGCCCAAATATACAACAATGATCCACGCGCAATTATTTCAAAGTCCTTTTAACAGTTCCAAGTCCATCATTCCATGCAGATGATATTGTCAGTGTTCTTTAGAATATTTCCATTTATACAAATCCCATCTTCGGCTGGCTACTCTTTTGTGTCGGGGAAAAATGTACCCCTTACTAGTACCCTCTAGAATATGCCAAACATATGCGTAAAAGGCACAAGAAAAATGCGGTGCCACTGTTGAAATACAAACATTGATCGCTGACAGAAAACGTTCGTCGTGACTCTTGTCAAAACAAAGACAATAGTTAATACATTATACAAACTGCTTTTCAAAATCAAGTGACAGCTATACCAGCAATACTAGTGAATTTTAAGTGAATTAGGTAGCTATTTGTTCACAAGTTTGTCCAACAAACTGATCGTCTGATCAGTGCTTTAGATTGTCACTAGATTGGTCTTGTTGCTGTCTCAACATCAGTTGTTGTGACGCCAAGAGTTGCTGTTCCTGCTGTTGTTGTTGTTCTTGCATTAGCCGCATCATTTCACTTTGATTCGGTTAATTAAAATACCCACATGATCCCTTACGGACCTTTTATCCACAGCAAAGACAGACTTGGGACAGGTATTCAAAGTGTTGGCTATTCTATCCCAAATGTCGCTTCTTTGCGACGAACCCTTTCTTGTTTTGAACGGCTTCTCGGAAAAACCTCTCTGCATAACAGGACATGCACGAGCGAACAGGTCATGTAGTGTAATGACGCACTTTTTTTCTTGTCAGACAAAATCAAACAAAAGTTACTTCTTGTATTTATATTTCAAATTTGAGTGAAATTAGTTATATTTAAGCAGGACAGGAAACTGAATCTTCTAATAAACTAAATTGGACTTACTTGCAAGTTTTCGACTTTGGTATCGACTTTGGTATCGACCTCGTCGGGTCTGCGTGTTGTCCATTCATCATAGCGATAACCAATTGACCTTCAGTAAAAGGCAAATTAAAATGAAGAAGAAGACGCGTTGCAGTTAAGCGCCAAGCATGCGCAGTGAAGCACTTTGTGAGCAAATTACTTCCGGTGACGTTTCAGGCTGCGTCGCGTTCTGGTTCGTAAAGTCCCCAGTAACATAGAGGCAGTGACTTTTGTGTATTACCAAGGTAAATCTCACTTGCACTTATAATTTTAGACTCATTTTATCCAAAAGTAAGACGATTTTTGCACGGTACTTTCTCACAGTTTCAATATGGCGCTCATCGAAAGATCTTGCAAATTGGCAAACTTCGGGAAGGTCGTATCGAAAAACTGAAAAAGATCCCAAAGAAATGAAAAGGAAATATAAAACATCTATCCTTAAACTGTAGAGAAAGCATATTCTGAGGATTTATTTTGGCGTACCGACCGGGTTTTTAGGCAGGTCTTTTATGTCACTCTAGAACCATTCAGAAAAGGCAACGAAGTGCTTTCAGCGAAACACTCTCCACGGGTCGTATAAAGTAAATCATCTGTCAATATACACAATATTTAATTCACCAAGGGGCAAGCTATTTCTTCATAGTAAGAAATCATTTATAGGGTTTATCCTGCTAACTTGAGAGAGTCACGAATATGTGAAATTTCGGTTCATCAGAGGTCATTTTGGTTCAAAACGGACCCAACCGATTTTATTTAATTTCCCATATGAGAGCAAAAATTAGACTGAACTAACCCTATTTTGTTAACTACTATACAATACTCTATCAGTGTAAAAAGTATCAGCGAAAACGAATCTTGAGCTGTGTCCGCCATTTGGGGGTTATCTCCGATTCTTACTGACATTGACTCTTAAAAAGGACAAATTAATCGCTGGAAACACATGAAAAGCCGCTCTTGTTAAAAGGGACAGATTTGTAACGAAAAGAACAACAATGAAAAGCACAGAAATTATGACCTTTTAGTCTCTCAAACTGTGAGGCTCATAGCGAGATGCCCGACTAAAACAGACGTGGAATTTTCCTTTCTTGAGTCCAGAATCGGTTGTTTAAGACAAAATCTCTTCAACTAAACACTCACGAAGCGTTTTCATGCTTGTACACAATATTCTTATAACACGAGCACCACAACATACCTGTGTGAATTCTGTCTGTCAACAAATTCAGGAAATCACACAATTAACCACGTTCGCGGCACTGATAAAACTATCCACAACCAACCAGGCACAATAACATTAATACGGGCAAAATATCATTAAAATATCAAATTAACCGACCATGGAAAACAACTTCTACCGTGTGCACTGATTTCAAGTGTAACTGTTTCATGTCACGCAGAGGGATGGGAAATGATATGTAGGGGAGGGGTGGCGAAAGATGTAAACAGCATTAAAAATATGTTTTTTGTTTTTAGTCTACTGCAACTTGTTACGGGTTTTTTGTACTGAAAACATAAGAAAAAAAATGGTCAAGTACTGAACAAGCCTCAAATGAGACAGTTGCTAAAAAATCCTGGAGGTACCTTTTTGCAAATCCAGAGAGATTTCCATTTCGTTCCATGAAACTATAACTACAAGCTTTAGGACACAGCTGAGACATTAATTTGTAACACTTTTCAATGTAATCTTTATAAATTTATAATTATTTGCACATAATTCTTCCTTATTAAATTCACGATAACGTCTCGCACTATTGTTTATTTTAGGAGGTAGCTAATAGCATTTAAAGAAACAAGAGCGGAAATGTTTTCAGGTTTAAAATCAATCAGAAATGAGAACAAAGGCCATACACAGAGAGAGACGGTAACAGTAGGTTCAAACCAACAAATTTCGCTAAGCTACCTCACGAAATAACTATAAAATCCAAAACTGCGATAGTCGTTGTTCGCGGCTAAAAGATGCATCAGGAATTGACCAGTATTTCACCTTTTTCGTCCTTTTCTTTTCAACATACGACATTTTTTTCGTCTTATTAAACTCGTCATTTTGCTTGGTACGCTTACTTTCCTCTTTAGTTCAACGTTCCCCTATAAGTAATGAAAGCTGATCTCCAACAGACACGTAACAAACGTTTCTCAACCGTGCTTTGAGAATCCTGAGAACTTAGCCAAAGTTAGTGGTCAATTGTGAGTTAACCTACCGTAAAATTCCGAAAATAAGCCCCGGGCCTTATATTTTTCAAAGGCCCTTTTTGAGGGGCTTATTTTTGGAGGGGCGATTTAACGGAAAGTTTTTGCGTTACCGGTTTGAGGGGCTTATATTTGGAGGGGCCTATTTTCGGAATTTTACGGTATTCCTTGTTTTCTGTAGTTCCTTATATTTTGGTATATTTCTGAGGGACACCAAGAGCAGTGTATAGGAATTGTGCTAAGCTCAAAATCAACAGAAAAATATGAAATCCCTGACTAAAAAAGTATTCCAAACTATCTCCATCTTCTCTATTTGCTTACTTTTGGAAGTACATAAGTAGGTTGATTATGATCGTCCGGGTAAACGAATAGGACTGTTGTTGACAGTGACTGACGTTTCGACAAGCTGTGCGATATTTCAGAGTCTGAAGATGACTTCACTTTGACCGCCTCCCCGGCTATAATTTCAAGAGAATGAGACTTTTACTGTTATAGACAATTAAAAAATGAGAAGAAAACCATTTGAAAGAGCATCACATTCTATTTGGAGGGTTCGGTATAAATACTATGAGGAAGATCATATGAGGCCCCTGTGTAGACAAGCCTGCAATGTGGGATTCAGCACCTTGGTTGGTTCAAGTTGTATGTTGTAATGGTTTGACTATGATGGGGTTTAATACAAACTCGGTAGAGGCGGAAGGACAGTGTAAACGGTTATAAAAGTAGAATAAAATCAGCGTTGATGTCTGCAAATCAGTGTGACAAAGTTGTCTGAAACTGGGACACTAACACTAACAGCATGGCGAACTCCCTAAAACATGCAGTATTGAATTATGAATTCATCATATGCCACCCAGGCTACAATGATGCACTGCCTTTTCCTTACATTAAAGCTACTCAGTACAGTCAACTCCCTTTACAACGGACACTTTAGAGACCTTGAGTTAGTGTCGTCATTAGCGAGAGTTTGTAATAGCGGAAGTTTATTTCAGTCAAACGTCTGTAATTAATTTTTTGCCCGGGATTTAGCTGCTGTCCGTTATAGCAGGGTGTCCGCAAGGCGAGAGTTGACTGTATCAGGCTGCTAAAGCGATACGTCTATTAGGCTACCGTCGCCCCTAATGTCCATGTGGCCGCTTTTCCATTGGCAACGTAATCGGCTCAACGCAGAAAAAGAGGTTTCTAGTAGTGCAGTTGGGGGTTTGGCCATTAATTCTTTCCAGACTTATACAAATTGCTGTATATTTCAAGTACGTGAGCAGCGACCATGACGAAAGAGCGAGAGTCCTCTGCACTTGCTCTGATGAACAGTGCATTACACTAAATTGGCCTAGATCCAACACTCGACACCCTTGCACGGAAGCATTCATGAGGTCTTCTTCTAACTAATATTGACTGAGTAAACGGCAAATCACAAGACTACAATGTGTGTTCTAATGTATTCAACGATTATCGGCATATACATTTTGAAGTCTTCACTGTAAGCGAAAAAATGCTACAACAAGTTGCAAAAGTACCTGACACACTGTACCGTATTTTGGCATAAATGACCTGTCCATGATCTTGTGCTTGTGATCCCCCCTGCACCCCTTACCAAAGTTGCTAGCAATACAAAACCATGCTCAAAACTTGGAGGAACAACTTTGAATGGGAGGGAGGAGGGAGGTCAGTGTTATATCTCACAGACCTGTGACCAGGAGCGATTTGAAGCAAGAAAGGTCATTTTTTCGCGGGAGTGTCTCAACAGTTTTGCAACTGGTTGTCTGAGTCCTTCATACCTCTATAGCCGTGGTGCACGATTATTATTTTATTTATTTATTTAGTCACTCACAAAACCTTATACAACATGAGCAAAAGGTGTTAATTAAATTATAAAATTAATGTGACAAGGAAGCCTAACGAAGCTTGAAGCTTATATTAACAGGCTTCCTTCATCTACCTAGTGAACTTAACTCATGGCTGAGTGCAGAGTGAGCAAGATCAGAAAATAAAGCGACAGATCGGCTATCAGTGAGATAATTCTTTAAATTTTTTTAAAAACAAATATAGAAGGAGAGCTAATTAGTGAAACAGGCAACGAATTCCAGATTTTAGGTCCTCGGTAAAGGATACTGAATTGCGTTATATTTGTTCTACAAAAATGAGGTCTATACTGAGAGGCTAGTCACGTTTCGTATTGATGGACTTCATTACTACTTAAGAACAAGTCATTAAAGCTACTACTAACTAGGCAAAAGATTATGGTGATAAGAATACATAAAGGTAGCGACAGAAAATGAATTAATACTAAATATGTCAAGGACTTTAAGCTGGCTAAATAAAGGGGCGGTATGTCATCAAAGTTTGGGATGATAGGTAAAAGCGGGCTTTCGCAATGATTCCCGCACTTTGCGAAATTTCTTTTGAGACGAAATCAATATGTGGTTTCCAAGAGAGATGCTGATCAATAAGAACACCTAAACATTTTGTCTCCATGACAGGTCGAATTCCACTGATCAGAAACGATGACCTTTTGAACTTGTTCAAGTGAATATCTGTTTCCTAGGAAGTCCGCTAACATGATTGACTGGACAGAAAAGTGCTAAAGAAATTCTTTATGTTTAGAAACCTTGGTCATCTAATCAGAGCTATTAGATCAAATACGAACTGGGGACTGCTCAGATCCCTTAATAATGCATTGAAAGATTGGAACTCCCTCAAGTAGAGAGGAGGCGTTTAGCTTGCCGCCCCTTGAAAATATTTCTCAACAAATTTAAATCTCAAAAAAAGGTTCTAGGATTTTTGATTCCAGTTTTCGTAGTACACACCCGAACGCTCCGTTACTAACAACAAACTCTTGTATGCAATAATAATGTAGACTTAACAAACCCTCTCAGTCTTCAGTGTATTTTTCAGTTTACATTTTACAAAAGGCACTTTCAACGTCAAGGTAAAAAATATTTAGTTCATTCCTTCTAAGACATAATGATAGCGAGTTCAAAATCTTACAATGTCAAATTTTCACACATGGGTCCGGGACCAAGCTTTATTGCAGCACAACCTTTTCCAATCATCGTCATTTCAATCACATTTGTGGAGAATCTTACTCGTTATTGTGTATATCTCATATTTTTAGAACAGCCATGGTTATCTTGAAGTCTAATTTTGTTATTCTACTGTGTTGTTTGAACAACCCACTTGCAGATGACATTACAGCTATTGCATGGCATCCAAGCTCACGTTACCTGGCTACTGCAGGAGGTGGAGACCGTCAAATCCGAGTATGGCACAATGCAGCTGGGATCAGGGTGCAGATTGAAGATCTACAAGGACGAATATTCCGATCAAGGAATGAAAATGTCAAGGTAAGAACACTAAGTCATGAAAGTAGGGGGATTGTTGTTTAGGATTGTGCCATGGCTGTATTTCATTACAATTCACAATCTGCCATCGCCCTCTGTTGGCTCAACATAATTTATCGGTCAGTGAGAGTGATCAATAACACAAATTGAGAAACAAGCCACTGCATATTCCAGAAAATGAACATTTACTTAGCTGGCATTGTGAGCAAAAGGTAATGGGTTCCTCTAGATACCAACCCCGCTTTGCATGAAGGACGTTCAAAGGAAGTACAAATTTAATAACATTGCCAAATTAAATCCACACGACAATTATATAAAGCATAGCTTAAGTTACACTCTACAGAAGTACTTATTTATGAAATTCACTGATACAATATATAAGAAACATCACTTTCAAAGAAAAAAGAAATTGATCATATAGATCATCAGTTTTCCACTTTGTAGTCTTGTTGAATAGTGAATGATGTGAATTTATACGGTTGTATTTGATATTTGTAGAACTTGTGTGCATGCTTAACAAATAGATCTGAAATTGCCATGTAGCGATTCGATAATAGGCAAGGTTGTTCTATGCTGCTCTAAGCGTTTTTGTGTAGCAACAAGCTAAGTTTACATTCTCACTTAATCCGTACTGTTAGATGGTCTGCACAGTGGCTCCTAAGCACTCAACGTTTATATTCCTTTGCAATGCAAAATATTTTCCCATTATACAAAGTGTCTCCACACATTTTCATTTACATGAAATGTTAGCCTGTCAGGCTCATAAACATTACCTTCTGATGTGTCTTTACTCTACCGCACTTTAATGTATCTTGCTGTCAAACGTGCCACTCTTCACAGGCCAGCGCTCAGAAGTATTGTCTACTTTCAAACGTGGAAAACGTTTTACACCGTAATGTAATCTAGTGGAATTACTGTCTGTTAATGTATATTGTAATATGACACGTTTAGAATTCTTTTTCTTTTTTCCTGCGCTACCCAGTTCATTTGACTTCACCCTTGTTTCTTATTCACTGAGTTTATATTTTTGTCCTTCTAGCTGCTTACATATATTTTTCTTTGTTTTTTTCCTACTACAGGAGAGATTGGAACAGCAGGTCCTTGAAGCCAGGTAGAAACCTTGTCATTTTTCGTGTTCAACTGCTTAAATTATATACGTATACTCTATCTATTTGAGACCTAAGATATGTTTCGACTGGCCTACTTACTTTTACTTACTTGGAGACAAATTTAGCTGGCAACAGCCACCATCCTTCACTTTGTTATTTTTTTTAAGACTTTGCAGTCCAGACCTACTGTGCATTTCCTCACATGTTTTAATTATTTACATTTTTTTCTTGACTTCTTACTAAATTTGGATATTTCTTTCTTATTCTGCAATAACGAGAGCTATTTTCTTTCCAGGGCGTCACTGGACAAGCTCAACGTCAGTAGCTAAGAAAATCAAAAACAAAAATTAATGGTCAAAAAAGTTAATGGACAAAGTTATAGAAGCATTTAAGAGTAATTTTTACTTCTTCAAAACAAAAATTCTGCAAAATAGTTTTGTTAAAGAAGAAACTATTTAAAAACAGCGGAAAGCCAGGCGTAAATTAGCCACAAATAACAGAGAAGACTTATCCCAAAGAGACCTATCCCAAATGATCTAATAGACGCTCACTCTCAAATAAACGCCTGGGCCCAGTTGTTCGAACGCGGGTTAGCGCTAACCCGGGGTTAAATTTTAACCCCATTTCTTTTTCTTTTTATCAAAAACACTCTCTCGGATAATTTTCTCTATTTTTTTAGCATATCCAATCATCAAATTGTAGGCAAAGAGAATTCAAGTGAATTGGCTTTTTAAGCTCTCATATCTAAGTTCAAACTTTGCACTAACCCTGGGTTATCTTAACCCAGCTTTGAACAACCCGGCCCTGTTGTGTAATAAACGCCCCTCCTAAGATGTTAAATTTTTATTATACGCCTATCGAGTTTAAAATTCGGATGAGCTTACAAAGACAACATAGCGTAAAATTCGGAAAATAAGCCCCTCCATGTATAAGCCTCTCAGAATATAAGCCCCCCAAACCGGTAACGCAAAAAACCCTCCGTTAAATCGCCTCTCCAAATATAAGCCCCCTGGCGACTTGTACTTGGAAAATTGCCCTCAAATACAAAGTGAAACAAAGCAAAAACGGTAAATTTACTTCCAAATATAAAGCTAGCCCATTCGATTTTGAAACGCAAATTTCTCTCTGTAGATAAGCCCCTCAAAAAGGGCCTTTGAAAAATATACGCCCCGGGGCTTATTTTCGGAATTTTACGGTAGTGACCCAGAACATTCTGACATCGAAGTTGAAATTTAAAGGAGAGATATGGATCTCTATGTGGTGGCCTAGACTTGTTAATGAATGGACTACAATTATAGATATTCTGCTATTATTTATAAACTCTTTCCCCGTGGGTTTATCAGATCATTTACGGAAAGCATTGAGAATTTTAAGCAACCTATACATCTCTATTTTCTTTTTACTTGAGGCCTTTCTGATTTTTGTTAATATTATTTAAATTTAAAAAGTTAACATACTTTACCATCCATAATAAAAAGGAACTTCATCGTTCATTTTCTTTATTTCTTTTCAACAAAAGCGAATACTGCGTTTCTAAACCAATTGTTAACTGTGCTATCAGGTCGTTGATGCTATACAAAAGCATCTACAAAATACCGACTTAATCAATTAAAAGAAGGTAATCTGGCTAAGTGAACGACCTCCAACTTCATTCAGCCTCATTTCACCTTGAACCCACACTTCAAAGTTAAACCTACTCAACATGAAATCAAAAGATTTCTACTGGTTACTTCTTGATACAATTCATGCTAAAAACAGGGTATCCGCTGACCAGTATCACCTGACCGTATCGCGGGCTCAGGTGTCGACCCATCAAGGTCGAGTATTTTTGGAATTAATCCGCTGACAATTTACTCGTTTTAAAATGATCGCAGGCTCACGTTTACTTTTTTTAAAATCATATCAAATGTGTTTATGTCAGTATCGCCTCGCACTATTATGATTTTGATTTCAAGCTGACCTCGGACGCAGAAATTCAGCCAGTTTTTTTAAAATACAGGCGGATAAGACCTTTCTTACCGTGGTCACGTGTTGGTCACGCTCCACGTCCAATTTTTATGCTGTGATTAGTTAAAATTTGACAGGTCAGTTCATGCGTAAAATTTATGCAGCATCTTGAAAGTTGTTTACTTTGACAGCTGAAGCTGACTCAAAACTCAGTTGAACACTACAAAAATTGACAGAAAAAGGTGACCTACATGTTTTACTTTATGTCGACGATAGTTCTCACAAGAGAATAAGTACCGACCAAACAAATAACCCAATTTGGTTGAGAAATGCATAGCTTGTCAAAGCCGATAATCCGATTTCGGATGGCATCGTTTTTGTTTTTCACCTTGCTGGATGCGTGCGAGAATTATAAAGGCTCAAGCTATCCTTGCCTTACTTGATAGCTTTCAGGAACTGCATCTCGAAATATGGTAACCCTGAGTAATTATTGTATTTATGTCTAATTTCATGAAGTCCAGCGGCGCAGTTTATAAAGCCAGTTTATGCACGTTTGTATTAAGATTTGACTGAGACACTGATCTGACCTAGTACGAGGTTTGATATAAGCTTAAGCTTACAGAACTTTAAAAAGCCTTTAGTTGATATTAATTCACCGTAAATAGAAAGAAAAGACTTTCCGAAGAATATTTAGTATATTTTGGCTGCAGAAAAAATGCTTTGAGCGATTTTCTTGTCGTGTGTTTATCTATGAAAACAGCAGACACCGGGAAACCGGCGGCTTAAACTTAATCTTTAAGCTTACTAGTAAAGACTTCAGGATTCTTAGAGACACTTAAATACTCTGTCTCACTTGTTTGCGTGGATGAAAATTGTTTTCTCTGTAAATGTTCTACCGAATTATATTTCTTTATTGATTGTTGGTAGTCTCAAAAGTGTAATTTTCATCGCTTTGGCGTTTGTTTTCAGCCGTTCATAAACATCGCTTGCAGGAGTACTCAGAATGCCGAGCGTATCAAACCCATTTTAAGATTACATATCGTTATAAAACCATTAATAAAAAATAGACTCAATAAATTCTTTATCACGTTGAAGCGTAACTCTTTTAAAATTTCTTCGCAAATTTGGCGCTTGTCAAAAGTTAGAGCCGGCTGGCCGTATAGGTGATTTTGGAAATTTTTTTGAACCGTTTCGCTAATTAAAAGTGCACCAGTGCTTCGATGGAGGCAGGTACAAAAGTCGGACCGGATCAACTCGGACCGCCAGTCCGGGTCGGATCAACTCGGATCGACTCGGACCGACTCGGATCGAATAAAAAAATAAAAATAAAATAAAATTGGACTCGGATCAACTCGGAGCCGTGGCTAAATCTATATATTATGCAACTCGCTGGTTTTGCGCTGACAGAAAGGAGAAACAATGGAAAATAATAACATCTCGAACTATGTCAATATTTTCGCGTGTGTGCGATTCAAAAGCTGAAGATCCATTTAATTGCGCATTATTCAAATGCTAGAAGTTTATGAAAGGGCATACCGGCTCTACCTTGTCACGTACAAAATATGTCAAATGCTTCAGCCCCGGGGCTTCAGCGTTGAGACAAGCTGTTATATCCTACTGTTATCGACTAGTACCTCGACTAAACTTCATGGTGACTGTGGAATTACTGTACGATCAAGCGTAAAGTGATTTTCTCCAATGTCAAACAAAAATGCGGGCCTTTGTCTCCAAGATCTGCCGTGAATTTAAACAAATTGAACTTTAATAATTGAAATAGAATTGTTCATCAAAATGCCCTATGAAGTCTGGTCTTCTCTACAACCCGACCATGAAACAAACAAATCTCCGCGCCGGATGCAAGTCACCCTCCAGCCAGGAACGATGACAGGTCGCCGATCGTCATATCTTTTCTCTTCCGAGGATAAGTGCAACGGATTTTCCTTATAAATCACGGATACCATATGCTTGCAGTTTTGAAAGAAGAATAGCATGGTTTACCGTGTCGAAAGCCTTTTTAAGGTCTAAGAAGGCAACTGCATTGAGAAAGCCGCGGTCGACGTTCAAAGACCAGCTATCTGTGGCCTCGATCAATGCAGTAACTGTGGAGTGGAGTGTGCGAAAACCAGAATGGTAACAACAGAGAAGTTTGTTTTCGGTTAGATAACGATATAGCTGATCATAAACAATGCGCTCGAAAACGTTAGCCACCACAGGAATGATCGAAATCGGCCGGTAATTTAAGGGATCGCTTCTATTGCCACATTTCTTGTAGAAAGGAGTGATCCTAGCGCTCTTCCATTCATCGGGAAAAATACTTGTTTCAATCGATCGATTGAAAGTGAGTGTTAGACAGTGGGAAATTAGATCGAAGCATTCTCTCAGAAGTCTGGCGGAAACTGTATCAAGTACAGTGGCTTTCCTCATGCATAATTTACGTAACTGAGACGAAACCAGAGATGGACTTATTTGTTGAAAACTAAAGCTGAGATAGATTGATTTACAAATTCATCGAAACAAGTATACATGTCTTCAATATTCTCGGACAGCTTGGGACCGATTTCGGCAAAGAATCTATTGAAACCTTCCGCAATTTCAGTCGGATCAGTTAATTTCTTGTCTTCAAATTCGAGTTCATTTATAATCGCTTTTTAGATTTGCGACTGGTCACCTCACGAATGGTCTCCCAGGTCTTACGTGAGTTGCCGTCACAAGCTGTAAAGATTTCAAATAATAGGACTTTTTAACCCCCTGTAATCCCAATTCAGACAAAATCTCTAATTCAGGATTTTGGCTAAAAAAAATCTTAAGAATAGCCAAAATCTTGATTTCGGGATTTTGGCTAACCGAAATCTTGAATTTAGGATCTTGGACTTCCAAGATCTTGAATTGACGGTTTGGCCTTCCAAAATACTAAAGTCAGTTTAATCTTGAAATTGAGATTTTGGCTTTCCAAAATAATGAATTCAGTAGTTTGGTTTTCCAAAATCTTGTAATTTGGATTTTGGCTTACCGAAGTCTTGAATACAGTATTTTAGTTTTCCAAAATCTTGAATTTAACCAATATCGTGAATTCAGAATTTTGACTAACCAGAATCTTAAAGTCCGCCAAAAATTTTAAATCCAGTTTCCTCGATTACCAATATCTTGAATTCGGGATTTTGGCTTACCAAATTCTTGAATTCGTGATTTCGGCTTACCGAAATCTTGAAGTCAGCAACAACCTTTTTTAAAATCTTGAATTCAGGATTTTAGCATTTGGAAATTTTGAATTGAGGATTCTGATCTTCCAAACTCTTGAAGTCACGATTTTTTCGTTCCATAATCTTGAATCAACGATTTTGGCATTTTAGAAATCGTGAATTCAGGATTCTGATCTTCCAAACTCTTTAATTCAGGATTTTGGCCTTGGAAAGCCATGAATTCACTATTTTGGGTTTCCAAAATCTTGTATTCAGGATTTTAATTTTCCAAAATCTTGAATTGACGATTTTGGGTTGCTAAAATCTTATATTTAGCGCAATTCTTGAATTCAGAATTATGGCTTGCAAAAAATCTTGAACGTGGGTACCATAACCCCCAGTTAGGATTTTACGTTAGTAGTAAAGGGGGTTGATATGGCAAGTAACCAATCACAGAGCAGTATTCTTTTGTTTAAGTTTTAGAGAACAATTCGAACAATGGAGCTCATTCGAATTCAGTACTTTGAACCAATCGCAGAGCAGCATTAGAAATGTCCCCTTCATGTAATAGTCAGCAAAAGCACATGTTATAATTTTCGCGCTATATTCAACTTCGCGCTAAAAGATCAGGGGCACCCAACGACAATTTTCGGAAAATATGTGTTCGGAAGACGATTTGCGATCTAGAATTTTCGGAACATTTGTTGTAAAATTTCTTGCTTGCCTGCCTCTCCTAGGATTTTCGAACATCTAAAAAATGGTATAATTGCCCATTTCTAACGGATTTTTACTCTTAGAAGGTCACCTAGAATTTTCGTGAACCTTTTTTGTGGCTGAAATTTTCGGATCACTAGACTTTCAGCTAGGAAATCCGAACAGATGATAAAATTTCTAGGGGATAAAAATATGCCTATATCTACCGTTTAAATACTAAAATACGTTTAACAATGCTATGTCTAAGTGGTTTTGAACTATCCTCTCGTTGGGTGCCCCTGAAAGATGTTTTAGTATGCAAGAAAATGGCTCCCTTTGCCATGAATGCATCAAAAATTGAACGATTTGCTGCCTTAACAACACAAAGGCAGAAAGGCCTCTTTGAAGTAAACAAGAACTTAACCGAACAATGGTTTTGGCATTTACGGCGATTGAAAAAAAAGCAAGATAAACGAGTGTTGTCTGCACGCGATGGTATGCTGTACAAAGAATTTTACAAGGTCCAGAAACGGACCCGATTTTGCAGGGGCAAAGAAATTTACACAACAGTATTTCATCGCAATTATTTTATTCACCTCAAAGAGTATATCATTGTACACAAGAAATAATAATAATGACTAACGAAATGGCTAATGGTTT